TGGGCATAGCTAGCTGGCCTATTCTCCATGGGGTGGAGCCGCGCTTCTAAGTCTGTGAGCCTCGCCTCCAATGCTGCTAGCATCTGACATTTATTACAAGTACCATTATCGCTAAAGGAGGCAGAGGAATAACTGAACATGCGACACTCCGAGCAAGAGAAAGGAGGAGAGGAAGAGGGGGAAGCCATTGCTCTCGATTAAGCTACTAGCTTAGCTAGCTTCTAAACTAGCCGACCTAAAGTAGCAAGTTAAATTTGGTAGTTAGCAAGAACTTCTGCAAAACAAGTGCTTTAAGTGGTGCAAGCGTATGTTGTCACTCAAAAATTCAGATGAACCTAGAAAATAGTGAGTTTAATTCCTAAACAATCTGGAAGCAAGCACAACGCAGTGCAAATACAGAAAACAGGAAATGAGTACGTTTTACCGCAGGAAACAGCAGTCCGTCAAAGGTTCCGCAGATGAGATATATGATCTCTTCAGCATGTTCTGGGTTTGCCCCGGGGTCTCCTACCAGATCAACATGCTCGGAAGACCTCCAAAGGGAGGCACCCTGGAGGCATCCTGATAAGATGCTTGAACCACCCCAGATGGCTCATGTCAATGTGAAGACACAGTGGTTCTACTCTGAGTCCCTTCCTGATGTCTGAACTCCACACTGTATCTCTAAGACACTTAACAGTCTAGTACAACATTCGTGTTATACACTCAATTCTACCTTCACTCGTGAAACAACACCCTGAGATAGTTAAATTCGTTCCCAACCCAGAGGGAGCAGTCCACCATTTTCCGGCAGAGTACCATGGCCTCACATTTAGAGGTGCTATGGCTATCTGTACTAAATTTCATGGCAATCCAGTGAGAAATGTCAACTTCGTGGAGGAGCTATAGAAAAGGTCAGGGAAAACCATACCTTTCTGTCTAAACATTTTAATAAGTTATGAAGAAAAAAGACAATTTTGAGGCATCTGTAAATTTGCTTAAAATCTGAGATTTTATTGATAAAATTCTATTTCCTTTATAACATGACATTCACACAAACAATTTTTCCATTGGTTTACAAGTGACATGCTTTAAAGAGTTATAGCTGTTTCTGTATAGCCACACTGAAAGCTTATTTTTAATAACATTGATATAAAAGCTAAAAAGTATGGTCTCTCATCACTGTCAATGATTCCAGCTCAGTTAAGTGGAGTCATGATTATAAACATTTTTCATAGTGTATAACAATTTCATGAATATGTTTATGACATATGTTGATACTGTAGCTTGTTTTCATGTAGAATTATGAATTGATTTGATGGTCCAATAGTTATATTTATTCAGGCCAAGCTGGAGCGTCAAATCAGTGTGTGGGCTATAATCCTTTGCACGTCTGATCTAGTGAAGGTTTTGGGGAGCCACCTACAGTTTTTTCAAGGGATTAATCAAGAATTGACCCTTAAAATTCTTTCTAACAAAGTTCTGTCTTACTTGAGTCTGAAAGACAATGTTTAATGCACTGTGCTGATGGGTAGTTCAGTTGTCATAGTTCTTATTAAAATTGAGACACTTGTTCTGTAGAGCCACTGAAAGAATGTGTCATGATTCGGTTCCACTGCTTCCTGTCCGGCTTTTATTTTGATGTTACTTCCTGTTTTTGTTTCACCTTAGTTTCGGTCTTTTTGTGTTCTTCATCACTCACATTGGTTTCACCTGTTTCGTTATTGTTTGCACCTCTATTTAGGCAGCGTCCTCCCACCAGGACGCTGCCAGATTGTTCTAGACCCCAGCTCTGACTTTCCAGCATTTTCTTCGGTTTTGGTATTTTGTGTTTCTGACCCGGACTGTTACCTTGGTATATTCATTTCTGCTTTGCCCTCTTGTCTCAGACTGCCACAGTGTATGATATTGGACTTCCCTCTGGACTACATATTTTTGGATCACCTCTGTTGGATGTGTTTGCTGGCTCTGACCTCGGACTGTTAAGGACATGTGAGTTTTGTGTTTTCATTGTGTCTTGTATGGTTTTCTTTTGTTCAACGTTAGTTCTCTTAATAAAGAGACGGTTTTGTTTTACACTTCCTTGTCTGGCCATTTAATTGAGTTCACCTAACACTTTTCGGCCGCATTACGCGCCGTTTCTGACAGTATGAATTGGTTAAAGTCATGTTCACAGTAACACAATGTGTCTGAGGTTTTTGCATAAAAAGATCCATGTGGATGGAAAATTAGCACAAAGAAGAAACACTGGATCTTTTATTTACATGCATTAGTATGGACATGGCCTCGGGCAGTTGTATTAGCCAATATTATATAGGACTCTCCTTCACAGTGTACTATAGCACTACATAGTATTATCATCATGAGATGATCCTAAGTCTAAAAATCTACTTGGATAAAAGCACCAGTTGATGGGTGAAGGCCCCAGTGCCAAGGGCCATAAGTTTGAGCTCAACATTGGTAGGGACAACATCCCCACCCCCTGAAAACATACTCCTTAATCCCTGATTCTACCCACGAATTAGAGCCTCACTTGAAGCACTGAAGATGCACCTGTTCCCTCATCAGCCTGCTCTGCTTCTCTTGCCTGATGCTGAATTCAAACAAAATATTTCATCTTCATGGGGTTTCTAGCCTGTGCATGAGGGTGAGTAGGGTTGCAGAGTGATGGAAAATTTCTGGAAACATTCTGAAAACGTTCCATGGGAATTTATGGGAGTTAATTGGAAATTTGAGGTTATTTATACAAACTGTATTGTATGCAAACAACGACATAAACATTTTGTTTGGTCATAAGCATACATGCATGTAAACTCATGCCAATTTAAAAAATGACATTTTTGATGGAGTAGAACTTTAATGTATTCTGTCACTGACCAACAAAAAGAATGAATGTTGAATAAAATTAACATATTCCCTGGCTTCTGCATTTTTCCTTGCACTCCTTTCAACCTTTCAGGTCTCTTTTTCCTGGACCTCATCAACATCCTCCATGTCTGCTTCCTAGCTAGCTACTGTATAAAAGCACATTTTGATTTAGTGTTTTGTCAGTTAAACTTTAATACCTTTTGATCAAATATATTCACCCTAATAATATCATCAAACCTAATTGACTGGACGTAGTCCCTGGGCTCAAATGGTGTTGCTTCAGTAGTCCTGCTGTAGTGTGCAGGATTCTAGAAATTATTTTTACATGTGACTACGGACTGCACAGTGCATGCAGGGGGGCGTGAACTAAGTAGCCCTGCAGTAAGTAGTGTGCTGTGTGCATGTGACTGAGAAATGCACAGGGTAGAAAGCAACTGATTTTGCATTAAAGCTAATTGATTTAATCAGAATATGCTGCAAGAAGTTTTTTCAACTCTAAGGTCCCTGTGACAGGCTAATCAGCAAGTTTGCAAATTTCCAGTTTATTGACATATAATCTTGTTAATTCCCATGGAAAGTTTCCAACTTTGAAAATTCATGGAATTTTGCAACCCTAATGATTTTGAAAGAACTTAGAAAAAATCAACTGGACTAGATTTGAAATCTAGTCCAGTTGATTTTTTTTCTTTCAGCTTTTATGACCTGGATGACTGAGAATCTGCACAGACAACCCTAATGATGAGTGATGTTGGTGATACTGCAATGTATGAGTGGAGTTATTGAATATTTTTCTAATAAAAATTACCCCAAATTCTGAAAAAAATGTATTTGTCCTAAGGGTTCTAGTATAACCATCAAATGGCCATTGATGTGTGAAGTAATTTTGGTAACACTACACTGGGTAAAAGTAAATTTATTGAATATTTTTGTAGTAGGCCTCTCTTTTCAGTGCTGCACTTTGTAGACGGTCCCTGCGCTCTCGTCTCACAGCCACTGCACTCTGAGACCAGTGTTACTGGTCTGGAGCATGGGTTTGGTAGGAACCTTTCTGCCCTGCCATGCAAAACTACGCCCTTGCCCACTGCACAAATGTATAGTCAGCACTGAAAAATGTCACGCCCAAAAACGTCAGTTTCTGTCATTGCAGCTGTCTGCAACACAATGCACAACACACTCACAAAAAAAAGCTTCTGGAAGTTGATAAAGTCATTTTCCAAACCAGGCAAAGCATATTCTTTATATTTTTAAAATATTGAGGAATTATTATTATTATGACTCTTATAATAAATATCCTTGTATGTAATTTAGACCTACATCTACTATACATAGCATCAGCTAGGTGTGCTTTCTAATTGTAACATACAGCACACATGCATGATCCCATAATATATAGCTGCCTAAGCACTGTAGCCTGTAACGCTAACTCTTGGCTTTCATCAATAGACCTTTAAAAATCTAAAAAAGGAAGTTATCAAGATGAAGTAGGGTTTATTTGAATGAGGCGCGGACCTCACGGCCCTTCAGAGGCTGAGGAGGACGGAAGTTGTCCACCATGTGGTATGGAACTTCTTCTTCTTCAGTGAAAAGGAGCTTGCGGAATATGGCCATCTAATGAAGAAGAAGAGACAAGGAGAAAGATGACAGAGAACAAGATAATTAGAGTATGAGTTCCATGTAGAGTCACATTAGCAGTTGGTGAAATGTAATGCAAATGCATTTGCTATGCTGTATAATATAATTGAAATATCATGTGCTGCCAATACGTTCTCATCCCAGGGCATCAAATACTGACAGGTACTTTTGGTGTCTAAGGTTTATAAACACAATATAGACATTTAACTGTATTTACATAAAAGGTTGTGCTGACAAGAATCTGTGATTATGTACTGTACTGTGCACAGCCTACTGTTTGGCCATTCCAGTTTGAATGCAAATGAGACAGAGTGTGTGTTGCATAGAAAGAAGCAGTGTTGGAAAGTTACTAAATACATGAACTTAAATACTGTATGTAGTAAGTACAGTATTGAGGTGTTTGTAGTTTATTTTAATATTTCAATTTTATGCTACTTCAATCTGACTTCACAAAATTTTCGAGGTAAATATTGTAGTTTTTACTCCACTGCACTTTTTAAACCACTGCTGTAGTTAAGATTTTACAATTAAAACACATAGGATATGCTTTTAAAATACCAAACAAATTATTGTATTTGTATGGACCTTGTCACAGGCAACATTAAATAATGAAGACAATAATGCATCAATAAGCATCAGTAATAATGCTTAAGTACACAGAGCTGATAGCAACTTGTCAAGAGGCCGACTGGAGAGCCAGGGTTTATCCCTTGGAAGTTGGATGATGGGCCTTTGTCAGCAAAACAGTAGTCCAGCCGCTTCATGGTGCTGGTGTGACAGGTTCAAACCTATGTAAGATGGTAAAGGAACTAGAAGTGGAGGCAGAGAAAGCTAGCTACTGGCTGTGGCTCTGGAGGAAAGATATTGGTTGGGGTCTAACACCCCCCTAGAGGTTGCAGCAAAGGGGTGGCAAGGAGATGTCCCCAATTTGCCACTGCCCCTCCACCTGGAGATGTAGGCTGATGAAACATTGGTGAAAGGCAGTTCCCAGCTAATGACCCTGCAGCTGACCTAATGGTAATGGTGGAGGTGCAGCACGCTAGAAAGCAAAAGCAGGAGATAACATCATGCCAATGAACTAAATGATCCAATAATACATTAATGTGAAATGTATAAGTTTGCACTATGAATCATTTCACTTCTGGTACTTGAAGTATAGTTTGATGATAATACTTTTGTACTTTTACCTAAGTAAACTTTACAATGCAAGACCTTTTCTTGTAACTGAGGATTTTCTACACTGTGGTATTGTTACTTTTATTCAGGTAAGACGTCTGAGTGCTTCATCATCCATTGTTGGGAACAAGAAATATTCCCATGACCTCTTGTTTTCTCAGTTAAAAACAGGCGTACAGTGATGTTTAAAGAACTACTGCACAACCCCTGGGACTGATGGGAATCTGTGACTACCTGATCAGCTACTTTTAGAAAGGTAGAATGTAATCAGGTGCTTCACTTGCCCCAGTATATCCTTAATCAAGTGATGCACAGGGCAGCCACATCACACCCTCCTGCTTTGGTGCTTATCTCTCATGTGCACATTGTGATGCAAAACTGCCCAACTACTGAAACAGCCTACAGGAACCACGAGAACATGTTCACTGGAATGGTACAGTCAGAAGTTTACATACACTTAGGTTGAAGTCATTAAAACAGATTTTTAACCACTCTACAGATGTCAAGTTAACAAACTCTCATTTTGGCAAGTTGGTAAGAACATGTACTTTATGCAGGACACAAGTAACTTTCCAACAGTTGTTTACAAGTCCATTATTTCACTTATAATTCACAATTCCAGTAGGGCAGCACAGCAGTGTGGTGGTTAACGCTGTCGCCTCAGAGTGACCGGATGCCTTTCTGTGTGGAGTCTGCATGTTCTCCCTGTGCCTGTGTGTGCCTCTTCGGGTACTCCGGCTTCCTCCCACAGTCCAAAGACATGCAGTTTAGGTTGATTAGTGACTCTAAATTGCCCCTAGAAGTGAGTGCAAGTGTGTGTGCTTGTTTGTTTACATGTCAGCCCTGTTATAGACTGGCAACCTGTCCAGGGTGGACCCTGCCTCTCACCCAGTGTCAGCTGGAAGTGGCTCCAGCCCCCCTGCAACCCTATTCAGGAATAAGCAGTATAGATAATGGATGGATGGACAATTCCAGTGGGTCAGAAGTCCACTCAGCTGACTGGGCCTTTAAATAACTTGGAAAAATTCCAGAACATGATGTCATGGCTTTAGAAGCTTATGATTGGCTAATTGACATCATTTGAGTCAGTAGGAGGTGCAACTGTGGATGGATTTTCCAAATGGACAGTGACCCCAAGCAGACTTGCAAAGTTGTGGCAAAATGGTTAAGGACAACCAAGTCAAGGTACTGGAGAGGCCGTCACAAAGCCCTGAGCTCAGTCCAATAGAACATTTGTGGGCAGAACTGAAAAAGTGTGTGCAAGCAAGGAGGCCTCCAAACCTGACCCAGTTCCACCAGTTCTGTCAGGAGGAATGGGCTGAAACTCCAGCAGCTTGTTGTAACAAGCTTGTGGAAGGCATCCCAAAACATTCGCCTCAAGTTAAACAATTTTAAAGCAATGCTACTAAATGCTAACAAAGCATATGCAAACTTTTGACCCACTGGGAATATGATGAAAGAAATAAAAGCTGAGATAAATCTTTCTCGCTACTATTATTCTGACATTTCACATTCTTAAAATAAAGCAGTGACCCTAACTGGCCTAAGACAGGAAATGTTTATAAGGTTAAATGTCAGGAGATGTGAAAAACTGAGTTTAGATGTATTTGGTGTATGGAAACTTCTGACTGTAAGTGTAAAAGACACAGCCATGTGTGTGGCTCATCATCACACCTTCAAAAGGCTGTTTGAGGGTTATGATGGTTAAGGTTATGGTAAACTAGGAAATGCATTATGCCAGTGAGGGTTCTCCCAGTTATAAAAAGATAAATGTGTGTGAGTGAGTGCAAAGACTAGCAGCAGCAACAACTCTTCTGGGATCATTTAGTGTTTGGCTAGCTGCTGAGTTTGGATATAATTTCCCTTAGCAGCCTACGTCAGCAACGCTTGCAGTTTTCTGTCACAACAAAGTACGTGCTGCACTGTGCTGCTATCAGTGTATTCAGTTCTACAGTTCTCACTGGGGATATTTCTTCACATCTGCACATCTCATAATTGTACATCCAGTTTTTACTTAGGGAGCAAATGCTGAGCATTGAAACTACTTGTTTTAATGCCACATGAAGGTACTGTGGCAGTGTTAATTACGTAAAGAGACAGAGTGCAAACTGCCCACTGGAGATACAGCCAGTCAGTGTAATCTAAGTGAAACACAAGGCACTTGAGAGTCAGACCCACCCTACACTAAAGCATGATATGGCTTCTTACAGTCTTGACCTCGACAATGTTTGGACCAACATTCTGCCTCTTTAAACCATGCACAAACACTAAATGAGATGATTTCCAAATCAAAGTCTAAAATGTGCACAAGGCTATTTAAAAATAATGTCAAAAAGAGACATACAGGGAATTAACCAGCTCTCTTCATTCTGCAGTAACTGACTACTTGTTTGTTCCTCAGACTCCCCAAGGCTTCATGGCTTTTATTTTCATATTTATAGTACGTTGGACACTTTCAGCTTCCACTGGAAAATCCAGTAGCAATCTCAAGAAATTACATACCTAAAGTGCTGTACTGAAGAAGCATCTCCAACTCACAGTGCTGAGGTAACCACTCTGAAAATGTAGCTTTGCAAACTATCAATTACTTCACACTAGATGAAGTTAAACTGCAGCCAGACTACACCAGACAGAAATGTAGTTTGGTCAAGTAAAATTACTTTGGATAAGAAGTTCAAACTACTTTGTGAAAAATGATCAAACTGTACATGTGATACAAAATTAGAACACAATAAAAGAAAACTTACTGAACATGCCAGCAAAAAATGCCACTCAAGTGAGTTTGTTTACCAGAGACAGAAAACCTGTGCTAAACAAAACACTCCCATCTGGGCTTTTCACAATGACACTATATAGGCTGTTTCTTTTAAACAAATTTGGATTTTTGTATTATCTTTAACAACTATATACATTGAAGACAGTGCATTTATGTATAAGTGCACCTTGACCTTTTAGCACTGGTCTAAAAAATATGAGCCTGCTGTGTTACTTTTGCAGCATCTGACTTGTACAAACTAAACAACTAAAACAGTCTTGAACTTACACTTCTTAGACTGTATGAACAATTTGAACACTGGCCTGTCTTTTACTACTCCTTCGCAGAGCAGAATCTCTTGTTTATACAACACATGAGCAGTTTCTCCCAGTTCTTATCCAAAAGGCGGTTAGGGTTAGAGAAGCAATGGTAAAATAAAATAAAAAAATCATTCCTTTCCTTTCCTGGCCCAAAATTATCTGTAGCTGCAGTAGTTAACTACACAAAAAAATGGCAAAAATGTCATTTAACTACTACAGTAGCTACACAGCTATGAATGTAGTTGAACTACCAGCAAGTAACTGCAAAAAGTAGCTAAACTGCTAGTTTAATTACTTGTAGATCAGTAATCCCCAACGCTGCAAACTCACATATTGGCAGGTAGAACCAACACAAAAACAGAGTAGCTATCGTGCACATAAATACATGTACTATATGTGTACAGTGAACCACACATGCTCATATAACCTTCCTAGTGATATTTGCATTATATAGTATCTGCTGTGTAATCCAGCGCCAGCTATGGCTTCACTTCGATTGTTTTTATCATCGACTCTCAAGCTAAACTTCAGTCCTGCATGTATTTGTTCCTTGACCCTGCATTACAGCACAGCAGACCAAACTTTCTTTCCTCCAAGAAGAAATAGCTGTGCCTTAAAGACGTTGTCCAAGGCATATGCAAATCACTGTTCTTGCCTTTGTTTTATTAGGCTTCCCAAAAATTGCTATTGCTACTGTAAAGCTTTAGTACTTGAAACTTTGGTTGTCGTGTTTTTCTTTAGAAACAACAAAGCTAAGGACAAGCTAGAACCCATCTGCAATTCAAGACCAGGGACTGCTCAGATATGGAACTATATGACTCTGTGTAACACATTTCAACTGTACAGTGCATACCTATGTCTGGGTATTATACTCACATATTTTTCACAGTTAAATCTCTACTTTCAAGTTGTACTGCACCTCATTCCGATAGGGAGAAGCACAGGGCTGGGTTGCTAGTTTGCTTGTTTGTTTGTTTTTACTCATTTTTATTTTATGTAAGTGAAGCAAGTTAATTACTTGTGCAGGGCTGACACTGATTGGTTCCTTGAGGACAATCCAGGTGACACTCTCCAGCAGGGGGGGGGTGGTCAGAGAGCCTTCATAAGTCCAATAACGCAGTGAAGGAGGAAGCAGAGTCTTTGCATCAAAGTTTGAAAAGGTGGTCTCCTTTCCCTTTGGCCACCAGGGAAGGAAGCACAGAAGAGAAGGAGTGAGGTAGGCACGAAGGAAGACAGTCCATGTGAAAGATGTTGTTAGTTTCCAAGCTTATAAATTGGTGTTCATAAAACATATGTGCACATTCAGCAAAGCTTTGTTTTATGAACTGTGGGACAGTTGTTTTTACCTTGGCCTTAATAGCATCCAAGGCATCCAGAACCTTCTGAAGTCTGGGGTTGGCAGGACCAATCTGGATCACAACACAGATACACCCACAATATAATTTACAAATTTCATATACAGTTTTCACTATTTGGCTTCTGCTTCACCTTACATATACAGTACATATATACGTACTCCCACCGCAGGCATGAATACTAGTACCCTTGCCAGGACAGTGGCAGACTGTTGGTTTGATGGCTCACCTTGAGAAAGACCCCAACCACAGCAAGTCCATCAGGCTCGCTGGCTGCCTCTCCAAAGTTAGGGTACTTAGTGTTCCAGTGCACCAGGTGAAGCTGACAAGAAAAAGAGGTAAACGTCTGGTATGAAAGGCAGAGGTTACAAACAATGCATCATCTTCTCCAAAACTTAACATCAGCTAGAGTGTGGATATTGTACAAATATTGAGACAGTGATCTAAAGAGAGCCATCCAGCTGTTATAGCAAGCCACAGAGGTGTTCACATAACACGGCCAAAAGTTTGTTTCCTCACAGATGTAATTGTTTTAACAGTGCTGTTTTCAAGCCTGTGTTGGGTTCACCAAAAGCCACTTCACACTGTGAGGAATTAAATTTTGTTTGTTTGTTATGTGTCTCTGATGGTAGCTGTGCTCCAGCATCAGTCATTTCCCAATCCACTGTGATTACTGTCTATGGAAAATATAAAAACTTATTTTTAAACTGATTTATTACTTTTGTATTTTTTACTCAAGGCTCTTGCCAAAGCCAGGGTAGCACCACCATTAACATGTACTACTGTATGTGCTTGTTGTCTTCTGTTGCCTGTTCTGGTAACCCCAGAAGCTCCAGTAGTTTCAATACCTCACAGGGGAACTTGATGCCATTTACAGTGTGTTCTGAGCCTCTGTCATCACTGGCTCCCCAGTGGAAATGAAATTGCTTCAAACGGTATGTTCCAGAAACAGGGCCTCCAGTCAGGGCTGGTTAGAACAAAATAACAGAATCATTAGAGATGCACTCGAGAGAGGACAGATTTAACATCAACATCAAAGTAAATCTAAGCCTATCTGTGATAGGGATGGTTTTAGTAGCCAGTTCCTTTTTGGAAGTTAAATGCCTGGATTTATTCAACCCTGCGGCCAAACAGATCTCTTAATAAATCTTTCATTTACTATACATCTTCTGTTTGTGTTCTTTTCTTTCTCTCTCTGACACTACAAACACTGGCAAAGAAAAAAAAACGAATGACATATACAAACATGATAACTCAATAATACTGTTATTTAACAGCAAACATGGCTTCAGTGTCCAAAGCCAACTGCAGAATTTAATATTTGCTTGATGATGATAATGACAAACAGGGGACAAGGAAGTCCCCTGAATATTCATCTAGCACCCAGCTTGTTATGTTCAGTAACTTGAGAAGGATGAGTACTTGGCCTCAGCCTAGTGTCCATCAGATAGCAGCGCAACAACCTGCTCACCTTCAGGCAATGCTAAGTGCATCATGCAGCAAAACTTTAGGCTTATATTTAATTCACTCAATGATAAAGTACTATTTTCGCTGTGTTGTTTTTACTTGTGCAGCTGCAGCACAGCCCACCAGTGAAGAGGAAGTCAGTGAGGACAGGCTAAAGGAAAGTCACCAAGCAGTGATAAAACATGTGGTCCTACAATCACTCATCTCAGCAGGATGTCCATGGTTTAGGTTTGATAGCAAATTACCAGCAGTTCCATTAGTGCCAGAGCTCATCTGATAATAGGTCCCAGAAAACACAACATTTGAGGTTGTGAAGCTATGATTCTTGCTAAAAAAAAAAAAAAAAAACAAGTGTATATTTTATATTGTTTCTTTCTGTTTACAAATAAAAAAATTAAGTAATATATCATTATTTAATTCATATTGATATGCTTTTCATGATTTGCACTGCTGTATGAATGCTGAACTTTTTCAGTGCAGCAGGGTGAGGTGGTGCAGATGCCCGGGTGACCTCCAGATAATGAATAGTAACTGAGCCCTGACATCATCAGACGCTCTTATCTGCTGCAGTGCAGTGCATACAGCAGGGGTGGAGCAAAAACAGCACAGACAGATAAAGTTAGAAATGTTTTAGAATGGTACCATAGAAGTTGTACAACTTTACAAACAATTCAATTCAAGGATAATTAAGATTACAGATGTGACTGAGTGAATGAATAAATGTCTTCTTTGTGGCTCCCTGTCCTAACACCAGGAGCTGAGCTGTGCTTACTGGAACTGTCTGTGTCATCCGTAAATTCCACCTGGAAGGAGTGTCCATTGTTGAGAATGCCCATGGTATTAGAGGGGTCATACTTGAGTCTCAGAGGCTTCAGAGAGGAGTCATACTGAGCCTCGTTGGGGACAATGTTGATAGGCGACTGTCTGGGCCCGTTAGCTACTGGAAATTCTTCCACCCAATTGGCAGGTCCTGCAAATGGATATTTCCACATTAACAATTTTTTTTACCAAATTTTACTTATCAACAGTGCAATATTCAGATCCTTTAAAGTAGCAATGCAACAGTAAGTAAAAGCTCAGATGTGGTGAAAAAAATTACAGTAATGGTAAATGGTCTTCTACTTGCAGCACACTCAAAGTGCTTTCACACTATTTGGCCATTCACACATTCACACACTGGTGTCAATACCGGGAGCAACTGGGGGTTCAATGTCTTGCCCAAGGACACTTCAACATGTTGACTGGACCAGCTGGTAATCAAACCGCTAATCCTCTAGTTAGGAAACGACCCACTCTACCTCCTGAGCCACAGCCGCCCTTCAGTAGTCATGTAAAGTACTGTTACCTCCTAACTGTATTTGATTGAAGTAAATAAGAAATCTTATTTCTGTCTACTTTGTTATGAGCCATTTTTAGATCGTTCACTTTATGTCTCTGTCAAATAATTACTATTGATGGATATTGGATTTTAAAGGTTCCACAGATAAAGTCCTGCTTCTGTCAAAATCCATTGCTAGGCAACGCCCCCAGATTGATTTATGGCCCTGGGATGAGTCACCCTTCGGAGTCTTAGCCCCACCTACATTTGACACCTAACTTCCACCTAGATCAAAAGCCCAAACACTAATTTCATACTTTAAATTATTTCACATATCCGCGTTACTTTTCTACTAAGGAACATTTTATTATAGGCTTTATAACAGTATTATTGGACTTTATTGGGGGGGATATGACAGACCTGTAAACCATAAAGCCTCACAGATAAGGCACAACACTTCACTTCACTTATGAGGACAGGCCTAATGGTCCCAGACATATAGTAGCTTGATAGAGATTATTGTTTCTCCTTCTCTCTTAAGACATGGGCTTTAGTTTATCACCAATAGTTAGATGAAAGGAATAATTCTTTTTTTTTTTTTACATAGGCAGAACTCTTGCTTCACATGCAGCATTGTTTCAGTGTCTGCAGCAGCCCCACTGTGTCACACCTGTGTACTGACTTTTGGGCTCATATGTTACTGCAGTCAGTGTATGTATGTATGTATGTGTGTGTAACTCTCTATTCTTTAATTATTAGTCTGACACATTAAATAATTCAATTAATGTAACAGAATGAACTCTCTTTTCTGTAATTATTATTAAATATTTCCCCTAGAAGCAGGACTTTATATCTCTCTTTCCACATTTAAAAATGTAAGCACTTTACTTAGCAGTAAAATGAACAAAAGTTCATGTTAAATAATAGAAGCCCTATGTGTATTCAGTATTTTAACGTTGCAGTGGTTACAATATTAAAATACTAAAAGTCATAGTTTAAACACTAGCTAACCTTTCACCTCTTAAATTTTGTTTTCCAGACTAGCTGAGCTACAGACAATAAATTTTGAAAGTCTATGGGTCAAAAAAAGTTTCAAATTCATATGTTCATTTAACCAGTAACCCTACTCTAAAATGCCAGTTGTGGTAATGTAATATATTTTTTTAACTGATTAACTTGTTAAAGCTTATTGGTGTCTACATTACACAGTTTATTCTAATGCAAACCTGAATTGTGTGGCAGCATGTTCTCAACTTGTTACACAGAAACCTGAACATCCAGTAGGATGCTGGAAGGTGCTCACCGTTAGTGCGTCCGTATCCCCATCCATGAGACATGACTGGTCCTTGTGTATGCTGTCCTGATACTAGAACAGTGTTTAATCCAGATTCGTTTACAGGAGGACAAAATGGCACAAGAGGCGGCCGGTGATGACTTGGTGACAGACACCCGCTCAGATGCCGCTGCTGGCCTTTATATACAGTCTCCCAGTCCTCACACTGGTGGGTTTGGCTTCCCGGTACTTCAGCGGGCCGGTCAGTCAGGAGGACAGTGCAGACGCCTGGAGCTCTTCTCCTCTGCCTCCCTGTCGTAAACCCCTCCTTTTTTCAGGCAGACTATTAGAGATGCCATGTTGCTTTTTATCACTGAGTCTCTGTTGTCCCAGCTGGGGTCAGATAGTCCCTGACGCGCGCGCATCATCCACAGGCATCCACCACATCTATCCTACACCCGGCGCTGCTCTCAGCCGCGTCACAGGATCAGTGTTTGGAGAGGAGGGTCGTATGGGCCAGCGGATTTTATTGCAGTATTCGACATTTTCATTTCAACTTGCCAACCTTCGTTAATCCTGGCTATCCCGTTCCTGCTGTGTGACTGCTCACGTCCTGGGGGGGGACCGATAGTAACACAATAGATATCCGAAAGGAACAATAATGTTACATCTACATCCACAGTGCTTCATGTTGAATTTACCTACTGTTTCAAATGGCGGCGGCTGCATTTTCCGAGTGTGCCCCAGCAGTTTTAGTGCGTAATTCTCTGGATTGTAGATAAATATGATCCACAATCCTGTTTCATCCAGGAAGCGCTAACCCCAGAGACAGACCGTTACTGAATATTAGAAGGCAGTGAAACACATCCAGCGGCCAGTTCACCTCCTGAACCAGAGAGACTTTGGCTGGTGGAGGAAACTGTTTTACTCATCAGCACCTACAGTTTGTGAATCCATACATGCAGCAGGTCGATAAGTTACTTCATGTCCGTTCGTCCCATCGTTTACCTTTTATGCATTGACGAAAAGTGTAAAACATTTCGTCATAGTTCCCATTATCAAACGTTACTTTTTGTTTGGTTTTAGTTTAGTTTTCATTCTTGAAAATAGTTCGTCAACGAATATTTTTCGTCATAGTTTTCGTTAATGAAATTAACTGAGTTGTGCACATAAAAATGCACATGGGCAGTGGGCTATTCATTTGTCAACAAAACATCATACCTGGTCTTTTCGACGCACAAAGGACAAGTGAAATCTAATAGGCAGAGTGCAGCACATCAGACTCTAAATTGTGTAAATTGTGTTTAATTATAAATGTAAACATTTCTCAGGTGAAGTGTTAACACTTAGCCACTCACAAACACACAGACAGAGTGCACACCAAATTACAAATACATTATCCTATAACCCCCAATCAGAAAAAGTTGGGATGATATGGAAAATCCAAATTAAAACTGAACTTTGTGATTTGTAAATATACATTGAAAACAATTATGGAGACAGAGCCTATTTTAAGCCCAAAGAGAATGTAGCTTTTTTTTTTTTTTTTTTGTCTTTCTTCCATATGGACTCACTTGTAACTACAGAATGACCAACTTGGGGTTTTGATGGCTGATGTTATGTTCTGTTTTTAGCCATGAGCAATGTGGCACTGTCAGGGCCGCTGCCTCTCCTCCGTCTTTCTCTCCTCTGCTCTCTCTATCATGTGGGCTCAGCTGTGTGGCATTCCAGTAATTAGTAACTGGTTTGTCGATGCACACAGCTGGGGTGCATCCCGATGATGACCTTCGCCACCTTATATAAACCTCTGGCAGACGCTCCGTCGTGGCCGGAACATTAGCTATGTACTGCGCAACCTGGATTGGGGGTAGAATGCGACGCTGACAGACACTGTGCGTTTTGGCTCGACTCTATCGCACTACATTACATATTTTTGATTCGTCTCCGGAGCATTGCTACATGTTATGGACAATACTTACCCTGTTTCCTGCCGTTAGTTTGTGTGTTTACCTGTTCGTCCTGGTCTCCTTAGTTATCACTGCCCTTCCCTGGTTGTAAGTATTATGGACCCTGTTATGTTGTCACTTTGTTTGTATTTATTCCAATAAACCACCTTTTTTTTGTACTAGCACCTGGGTCAGCTATCTTGAGTCCAACCCCAGTTCTCCCTCACCCTCCTGGTGAGGGGGACTAACAGGACTAACTAACTAACAGGCTCAGTGGCTGCATTGTCAGTTGGTTGGCACATTTGTGCCATTAGATGAATATCAATAGTTAACATCACTAATCAAATAAATTAATAAATCAAATATGTACAATAAGAGTCTTTGTGGTTGCTGTGGCACTGTGGAGGATCTAACCATTAATACTCCCCACAACTCCCACAGTCAGCATTTCATGCACTTACTGCGAGAACATGGCCTGCATATACAATGGCTCCAACTCCACAGTGCTGTTCATGGTGGTGATCATTGTCTAGTGGGGTCAAATGTAATCAAAATAATACAAACATTATACAGAAATGATTATGTTTATACCTCTGCTTACAGCATCTTCACACAAATGACTTATTAATGCTGCCACACACATCACTAAACACTTTCATGCACACAACAGGTTTCTAAAGGCCTTTAGTCTGACAGTGCCCAATTATTCACTAGTCAAAAACTAATTGTGTAAGTTGATTTTTATCTGTTAGTTTGTGTTTTGTTTTACCACAATCATTACAGTCTCGCAGCCCTATTATCTTTCTAATCACTATCATACTGTGCTACTCTTTGTCACTCTAAATTATTCCCAGATCCTCTGTGACTTCAACCTTGTTGTGGAGTGTTGTGCAGCTGGTGTTGCTGCTCTACTCATGCATGAGTGCAATAGGACTCCACTGTTTGATCTCAGGCCTGTAGGACTCTGCAGTACTGAAATGAACATTTCCTTCATTGCCTCCCATGGCATAGATGGATATGTTCAGCAACGTTATACTCACAAAGTAGTGGCAGTGGTGCCACTTCATGCCAGGTGTGTGTGTTCAGGCCAAACCTGTGCACACTGTTGAAACATTCCACTCCATCACAGCTACCAGCACAGTAGACTTAACCATTCAATTCAAATTTATATGTACAGCACCAAATCACAACAACAGTCACCTCAAGACACTTTACAAAGAAAGGTCTTGACAGCAGGGATCACAACCCCCTTTAACAGAAGAAACCTCAGACAGACTCCGGCTCTTGGTGGGTGGCCTTCTGCCTCAGCTGGTTGGAGTGAGTGGATAGAAGAGAGAGAAAAGAGAAGAAAAGCAACAAGACAACAAACAAACAATCACTGGTCAGGTTAATGTGGCCGGTCACTGCTCATCAGAAACATAAAGCTCCAGAGCCAGGGCAACCTGCAGAAAGGTACAGGGAGAGCGAGAGGACACACTACGGGAGAGAGGAGACACAGTTAGTGACGGGTAGTGGAGGGTCATAGATAGATAGATGGAGAGAGAGGAGAGGAGCATCATGTTCTCTGTATGCAGAGTTTAGAAGTAAGAAATTCCAAGTCATCCAGGCCTTGATGTCTTTGACATGCTTGAAGTTTGACCAGCTGATCTGATTCATTTGGCTTCATAGATAAATATAACTTGGTATCATCTGCATAGCAATGGAAATTTATGCCGTGTTTCCTGATAATATTGCCTAAAGGGAGCATGTATAAAGTGAAGAGAATTGGACCTAACACAGAACCCTGTGGAACCTCATGACTTACTTCAGTCTGTGTGGAAGATTCATCATTAATATGAACAAATTGGAATCCAAGGGCCGATGAGGCAGAGTGTCGAGATGACCCTAAGATGTGGGGCAAGGGCTGGTGAGGTCAGGCAATGGAGTGGTTAACGGGTCTGGTGGAGCTCAGATGAGGCTGGCAGGCCAGTGGTAACATCATCGGGGGTGTCGAGGTAGCTGGTGAAGAGGGTGGTCATTAGTTCAGAGGCAACCCAGGAAGCAGCGAGGATGAACAGGTGACTACAGCTGCTGAAGCGGAGCCTCTCAACTACCCTCCACCATCTCCTGAGATCAGTACACCGTCACCAGTGTGAAACCCCATTCACTACTGCTCATCTTCTGAAGAGGGATGGCTCCTACTACCTCAGGCATCTAATGCTCCGATCCTCTCCTCCTGCTCCCCCAGCTCCTCATTGCAGTGGTGATCCTACCTTTTGCTCTCTCTTTATTTCTACTAGCTGTTCAGTCAATATTCTATGTCATTCCTGATACCTGCTGGTAGTGATGGTCCTCTAACACCCAAGGCTCCAACACATAAAGCAATTGTATCAAACCACTGCGCCGAGTCATGTTTTGGTCACGTGATTAGTGATGTTTGAAGCAATTGAGTGATGTTCAAAGCACCTGAATGGTTCGGTTTGTCATGTGAATTACTTTGCGGGATTGAGTGTGTTCAGGGATAGAATATCCCTATTTATTTCTCAATAAAAACTCATAAACAGTTACACAAGCACATCCACTGCCCTGTTCTTCAAGAATACCCTCTTTACCCATATACCCATGAACCTCTTTACAATGAACTCCAAAACAAACTTTGCCAAAGTCCATAATATAATCTGTATTTGCACCAGTCCCATGTGAAAATGACATCTGTCTGAATTTATAGAGCACATCTCATGAATGTAGCAGCACCATTTAAATGTTTCAGAACACAAAATATAAGTGAAGAGTATATAGGGTTACAATTAGACATGCCTAATAAGAAACATGGTCTTCAAAAGTTATCATTATTATTATTATAGTATCCACTTGAAACCATACAGTCATCTAGTGCAGTCAAACAGAATATTGCTACACAGTGCTATTTTTCTAGCTCCACGATACAATCAGACTCTGAGTCAGACGTGCGGGTTTGGTTGGGAAAAATTACGTGATTAATGACTTTATTCTGTATCGAAACCCTATCACTGGTTTGGTTGTCTTCCTTCTTAGGGAGAGCTGAGCTGAGCTGAGCCTTCGAAGCAAATAGAGACTGAGTCAACAGAGACTTGGTCTGACAGTGTTGCATTCAGTGCTAAAGATTCTATAACATTATTAAATCATAATAATTGGAGCCAATGAAAACAGTTGATGTAAGCGCTGTAACATACACATCTTGAGAGTTGATGAATGATCATGGAGTGTAGTGGCTATCCTTACTCTAATAGGTGAAACAATGGTGAAGTATTTTGGTTGGCACTGTTGGTACATCGTGGAATCCACAGTTTTGTAAAACTGTAGCATGGGATCGATTCCTGACAGAGCTGAGTATTATTTAGTTCATCAATTAAACATTTCAAATGAGATCACATTTGCAATCTAGTCTATTGAGCACCCACTATTCAACAGCTTTTAAGCTATGGGCTATTTAGACTTGTTTTAGGATAGAATATGATTCATAGCACAAATTGCCAGGCTAAGTATATAGCTAAAGCCTACTACAATCAGATGTGCCAAATAAGACACATGGCCTTCAACATGAGTTCATATTTATTTTATATTTTATTGTGGCAGCTTGAAACCATATAGCCATGCAGTGTACTCAAACAGGAATGTGCATGACAAATCAAATCCCAAACCATCCATGAACAAATGAGTGACATGTCTCGATCGCACTTCATTGTATTGTATTGCACTTGAGCAATATGTCATTGAAGCCTCGAGTAATGAACCATTTTTTTGAATACTGTGTCAAAGCGTCAACAAAACCTCACTCAGCCATCACTACCTGCTGGGTGTGTGAGAATTTTCCCTGCCTGCTTAGTTCACTAATGTATTCTGATCTTTGCTTTGAATTTCGCGTGTTGCATTTTGGGTCCTACTCAAGTGCTTTAGACGGGTTAC